CTTGTAAGATCATATGCAGACCCTAAATCCAAAAACCCTAAACCCTAAACCCTGAGCCCTAAATAGTAGTTTCATTGTTCTTTTCCATTATTATAGCCCCTATTAATAAGGGGTCATCCCAAATCTGGGGTCCCTTCGGAAATGCTGCCTTCGAATTGGGGCTTCCTGCGACCAAACAGGCGTGTAGCAGCTCTCTAAGATCACCATCACGACGATTGTCTTGCTGGCTCTCAGTACTGACTGACAGAACGGATCCATATAGAACCCCCGCTATACTCCCTAAGAACAGGATACTTGAAATGTTCCTTCCAGTTGTTCATTCCCTCCTACCAGCCAGTAAGTTGTGAGCTGATATCTGCACCATGAAAAGGCTAGCCTTAAGATGTGGATGCCCTCGTCTGGGAAGTTCTTCATGCGGGGAGGGCACGCGGGCCCTGAGAATCCCAGAGATGTAAAAGGACTGCAAGGCATTGCGTAGAAGTCTCATATCTCATATCACGCAGAACCTCAAGGATCCGAATTTTTAACAAATACACAACCCACAGTAACATTTAGGGTTCAGGGCTCAGGGTTATATTATGGGTTTATACGGGGATCATGGAAAAGAAAATGGAAACTACTTGGGGGACCACTGCCCATGTAATCCGGATGTACGCGCATCTTGTTTATTGCTAACCCTGACTGGAATGAACTCGATTTATTTTTCTGGAAGGGTTTCCGGACCCAAGTCCAAAACCCTAAACCCTAAACCCCTACCAGCTTTGCGAAGCACATCACATGTAGCCCGCGAGCAGTGTATGGGCTGTTCTCAAAATAATGAGCCCCTCGTGGTTATGGATAATATCATATTACGGCACCTAATGCTTAGGGCCTTTGGGGTACCAGAACGGGACCCCAATTTCGGGAATTGCACCACATCTCCTGCAAAGTGGCCGACTTGGGCGGCAGTGGGTTGATGAGGGGCTTGTGGCTTGGTTGAAATTTAGGTCGCTCTCATGCGATATGAACTGCTGGGAAAATTCAACTCGTGACTTTTTGAGGTTCTGTTTGGATCCGTTGTGCAAGGTTCCGGCTAGGGAGCGTGCACCCTCTCCCCAAGCAAAAACAAAACGCCCTACAAGCGCATTTGAAAGCCCAAAGGCTCCATGTAGCTATGTGGCATATACTTGGGCTCCAAAGTAATTATATGGGAACCCCTTTGGGCCCTAAGTATATACCATATAGCTACATGGAGCCTTTGGGATTGTTGGCCTCTTGCTCGAGTTCCCACTCAGGCAAGGCTGTTGAAGGCCTTTTTGGGATGATTTTTTGGATCAGGGTTTAGGGTCGGCCTTTCCTTTTTCGAAATTGGAGGGTCAGGGGGGACTTAGCAATTGGGATAATAACCCCTAGAACCCACATAGCAAACCCTAGTTATCCCCCTCATTAATCTACTTACTAAGTTTTCCTGAGCCGCCAAGTAAACTTTAAACCCTGAACGCTAAACTTTAAACCCTACACCCTTAACCCCATTTTTTTACTGGGGACGGCCTCATGAGGCTCCCAATCTGCTCCGCGATTTTCTTGCTCACGTCACCATGCCCGCTCTCGAAAATCTTCCTTCCATTCGGATTTAGGGTTTAGGGCTGAGGGTTTAGGGTTTCGGGGACTTAATAAGTAGGTTCATATGAGGGATATGGGTTCTAGGAGTTACTAACCTACTTACTAAGTCCCCCTGACTCTCCAAGTAAGGCCTTAGGTTCGGGGCACCGCAAAGGGTTCGAGAAAGGTTGTTTCGAGAAAGTCCCCCTAACTAAACCCTTAACCACAGGGGACCCCAATTTTTAGCCTGCCAGCTGTCCTCGAAGCATCTGCAATCAGATTGTTGGGCTTGTCCACCATGTCTGCATTGGCCTCAATGTCCTGCCACATGGGTATATAGTTCCCAAAATTTTGGTCCAATTTTGGTAGCCCTACATCTGATGTGCTATGATATATTCTATAACCAAAAAGGGCCCATAATTTTGAAAACAACCACATCGCTCAGGGCTTCTGGTTTGTGATTATCAGCACTGGAGCTGGTGTACGCAGGATGTGTCTGTCTCTGTCGACTAAAACAAGCCGAAAGCCCAAGCTTTGGAATATCCACCTTGCAGAGCGTCACGCCTTCTCTGAGCTCTTGCATCTTATACATGCTCCTGACTACAGCACGAGACCGCTGATATGAGAATCATTTACCAAGTATCTAAATAGCGGGAATTACATCAAAACCTTTTGTCTTGCGTATGTTGCACATCAATGAACCAAGTACTAAGCGCAGGCTGCGATGTGTTAAAGAACTCTTATCCTCCTTGCTCTTGAGACACCTCCTCTGCTGGGATCAAAAGATAATATACTCCTTGAGTGATGCCCCCCTTACACCAAGTGATTACAGTAGCATCCCCATACAACGACACCTGATCCTATGAATCCACAATTCTTCTATGCATCCACTACGAAGGAACCCATGAGCTTTCCGAAAAGCATTCAGCCCCTGGCGGGAAACTTAGATACTGGTAGGCTAGTAGTACTATTTCTTACTCTTACGCTTACTCTTACTCTTTCTATTACTGTTACTGTTACTGTTACTACTGTGATTGCTATCACTATTACTGCTAATATTGCTATTACTCTGACTTTTTTTACTCTCACTATTACTACTACTTTCACTCTTAAGACGGTACCCTTCTCTTTGGGCTCCTGCAAACCAAATCGAGATATGGGGTCTCCCAAAATTAGGGGTACCCTTTTAGGGGTCCCGATATAAGGATTATAGTATTCCTTTTTAGGGAAACTACCATATGAACCTGAAAATGAATCATCTGTGGGCAGCCCAGCTAGAATCTCTGTAAAGCAACAAATAGCTCGAATCACTGAACCTCTACCTTGACTCTAACATTATAAGCAAGGCATCCATGTGAGTTATTCCTCAAATTCTCAGCCCCAGTTACAGTACCGCCCCTCGGGTTGGGATACAAAAAAGAGACGTATGATTCGGAAATGATCCACGCTAGGTTGGTATATTGCGAAACACCAGTGCTTTGCATTAAAATAATGATGAGAGACTATACCCTAAATCCTAAGTCTATACTATAGGATATTTCCTGGCTGTAGTCCCCCTTAAGTAGATAGAATATGGGGTATATGGGGATCTTATTATAATATACTCAAAGCCATATTCTATCTACTGAAGGGGGACTTTATGGCTTGGGTTTCCCTACCTACACTTTAGGGTTGAGGGGAAAGGTTGATGGACAAAATCCTGCATGACCTTTGTATACTACAGTGCCACGATTCAAAGGGTGTGAGGTTTAGGGTTTAGGGTTTATGGTTTAGGGTTTATGGTTTAGGGTATAGAATTTAGGGTTTAGGGTCATGCAGGATTCATAATATCAACCGCGATCCAAGTTGCCGGTTCATTTCTCGTGTTCTTTCCCATCTGGTTATCCTCTATTGATGGTAATATGATACCCCTAATCCCTGAACCCCTAGATTATCCATATCAGTCTTAGTAAACTGTATGTCCGTATTTTCCTTACGTAATCCTATCTAACCTGTGCCCTTTTCAGTATGGTATCGACCGCAGTATCCATGCGAGTTGTTTTCAAAATTATGGGCCCTTTTGGTTATAGAGTATATCACGGCACCAAATATTTAGGGGCACCAGAGTGGGACCCTAAACCCTAAACCGTAATTTGGGGAACCACCCATATGAGCCCATAGTCTACACTCCTAGTATCCCCCTTCATGACCCCTATGGTAGTCCCCTGTATAATCCCCTATATAACCCCCTTTAAGGAGTGTAGGCTATAGTACATATGACACCCTAAAACCTAAACCCTA